TTTCATGTTTAATCACTATTATACTTGTTTCTGCTTCAACAGAAATATATTTATAATTTCACGTGTGAAGTTTAGGGACTAAACTTCAAATTCCATAATCTTGAGGAAATTACTTTTCAGAATTATCATTTTGTACAGCTTGAATAGATATGTGATTAATTTTTGTAATTGTCAAGTGTGCTTAGAGTGTATATTACATTAAATAGTAAACTTTACCTAATATTTGTTTTTGAATGAGTTAGAGGCCATGAGTATGTCTCATTTTAATAAGTTGCTTCAACTTGAAGTTTCTTAACGATCTGATTATTTGGTGTTCATTTATTCCGTATGTAAAGAACTTTATATACTATAAAATGTCGTGTGCCGGTCGTGTTAGCATCTCACTGCGGTCATAGCATAACTTCTAGAGCTACGTGATTCCCTTCAGGCTTCTGATGAGCACAAATGTCACCTCAGTGGAGCGCTCCCCAGACTCACCCTGGCGCTGCGTACCTCCACCAGCTCAGCGCCCCCACACGTGTTCATGATTCAGGCAGACACATGGCCACGTTGTGTTTGTTTCCACACTTGTCTCCTCCAGGGACAAAACATTCCTTGAAGGCAAGGAACACTCCTCATGTGTGTTTCTCTAATGCCTGAGTGCCAGGTATATAGGGGACGCTTAAAAGATGTTAAATGAGTGGGTGGGTATGATGTGAGAGGAAAGAAAAATGCTAAAGGTCTTTTAGTCTAACCACATCACTTGATAGGGAAGGAAATGAAGCCCAGAGAGGTTAATGCTTTGCTTTACTTTATCCAAGTTATTGGAATTTATTACACTTTTTAGTATTTTATCACTACACTACTCTAGATTCAGCAAAAATATTCCCTTCCAGTATGTTCCAGAAATGATGTGGAGAAACCATGGAGATGGATTATCTCGTTAAGGCCACTGTTAATAGTCTGCAGGAAGTTCCTCGCTGGGGCTTAGAAAGGAAACTGAGACCAGTTAAGAAGAGAAGGCAGCACACAAATCAAGTTTCCACACTGGATGGGGCATAGCTGCCCACTGTTAGAGGTTTGCTTTTGAGTGACGACGAGTTTCAATCATTTTAAATAACTTATTTTGTATCTTTAACTGTCCCGCCCTTGGATTTACAAGAGGAATTATCTGCTAAACTCTGCTGACCATATGTATTGTGGCTTGCAGTTCATTCTGACATAGCAGTTAGACTGGCACCTTCTACTCATAAATTTTAGAGCATTCATTCATCACCATGATTAAATTGTGCCGTTTAAGAAATAAATTACTTTCAGGTTGAATTTGATTTTAAATGTCTAGCCTCTGTTTTTGTGAGCAAAACTGAGGTTTCTTCTCTAACCTAGACCCCCTGAATAGGAGCCCATCATGCAGTGAAAATTAAGAATTCTGTTAAAAGTGGAATAACTCAGGAGACAGAAATGTATAAAAGATACATTTGGCGGGAAAAAAATTTAACATCGATATAGACTGACACACAGTCTTCATTCAGAGGAAATAAGCGCTCAGAAATCCAAGATGCCATGTTTCAGGTACCAAAAGGGCCAGTTTGTGGAGAGTAATCCTTGTGTACGCAGCTGTTTAAAAATTAGCAAGTAAGAAATCCTTATAAATGTGTAACTTAGGCATAGGCGGACATGATAAGAAAGGATGAGGGGTTTGGAATGAAAGGGACTAAGGGAAGTAGGGAACCTTATTGTGTAAACCGAACGGATGCAGACTTACTTGATTGCCCGAAGGAAAAATAGCAGACCAAATGCAGTTCTAAAATTTGTATTATAAAACCTTCATTGAAGGAAATGTACTTCAATGAGAGTGGATGGAAAATCTGAAAATCTCAGTGATGATTAATGCCAAGGCCCCATTCTCCAGGACCCTCCATCAAGTATTATCATCTCTAATGAATGTTTTACCTCTGGCACGCAGCGTCTTCCAGAAGATGGAGTGGCTTCTCCTATTGGAAGTTTGAAGTAATGTCTGTTAACCCACAGAAACATGACAAGGTTGGAAATATTAAAGCTGCAAACTCCCCCGGGTTCTTTAAGACCCTGACCTCATAGGAGCAGAGGAAGCATGTGACTTTATTTGAGATACAGATAGAGCACCAGAATTCAAACTATTACTAAGTTTTTAAAGGTTATTAACTTATCATAATCACCTCGATTACATTTCTCTTAAAAATTCAACAAACAAGTTATAAATTCCTTATGCTAAAAATGTAGTAATTAAAGTGTATCCATTCCACATTNGAAAGTAAAATTAACAATCAGCTTAAGTCACTTAAAAAATGTTTTGGCAAGATGTTTACATTTCTCTCAGTAGAAATTATCTGCAGTCATAATGGACTCGTACTTCACATTGCATATTGGCATGCAAAACAAAAACGTCTGAAAGGAAGTGTTTAGTTGCATCCTGCGTACCCTTTCCCTAAAACCAAGAGAGCTAATTTTGCATTAATGTTTTTTTGAAGGCAAGATGAAATCGTGGAGTAAGAACAAAATTTTATTTTTAATGACTGGAGATGTCATTTCATTCTTTTAACACCAGGACTCTCAAATCTCATTGATGGGAGTTGGGGGCTTTGAGGCTGCCTGAGGACGCCTTTAGTACCCATGTTTACAAATACAAAGTAATTAAAATGTGGGGTAAAATGAGCTAAAAGCACGTGGGATGCCTTTTACAAATTAGAAGACCATCTTTTTTTTCAATGTGGTTTTGAAAGAACCTTCATTACAGGGCTTTTGGCAAGCAAGTGGGCCATTCGCCTCCCACTCCAGGAAGACGGTGGTCCCTGGGACGTGGCATCCAGTCAGAGCTCTCAGAGGCAGTGTGCCTTTTTCATTCCCTTGGCCTTTACCGCAAGTGAAATTGAATTTTGTTTCTGAAATAAACTTTAAAGTGGAATTAACCACGTCTCTGAGTCAGGACAGATTAGAAAGCAAAGCCAGCAGGAAGGCGGAGCAGGATGAGGTAGTGGCAGTTGCTGACTCCTGAGCATCACAAGCTGTCAGCTGACTTACAGATACATAATATTTCCCATCAGTTTCATGATGATGCTCAGTAGGCCAAACACACACATGTTGTTTTGGTTTTTTCCCTTTAAAGCAGCACAGAATTTATCTGCAGGATAGCTCGGTTAGACCTAACTTGAGATTTTTCTGTCCTTTTAGGCCAGAGTTAATGTTTTTACAATCCTTAAAAACATAAAGCAGATGAAAGAATTAAATGGGTTCTCTTACAAAAACATTCAGAGTATGAACTACTAATCATAAAATCTTGAGGCCTGAGCGCCTGCTGCTGTTGAGGAAACCTTTTCCCATTGCTTACAGAAGCATCTCGGTAACACTCCTAGAATAAAAGGTAATCCCAGTGTGCATACCAAGGTGTGGAAAATGTTCAGTACCCCAAAGGATGAGTCCTAATCCATTTTCATAATCAAGAACTCAATTTACTAAATTAAGAGCTGTATTTTAAATGACACTGACCTATTAATGTGTTACGTTTGCCTATGATTTTATTCATCCCCCAAACAACCAAATGTTTGATGAAATTTGTTATAATTCAGTGGTTTTGTATTTAACTTTACTTTTATGGTAACATCAAGTTACTTTTTTAATGAAAAATTTTTAATTTTATTTTACTTTTTATTTATACACATAAAAAATTTACCACCTAACCTTTTTTAGTGTACATTTCAGTGGCATTAAATACATTCATAATGTGGTTCTATCATCACCACCATCCTTCTCCATAACTGTTTATCTTTTAAACTCAAATTCTGTACTCATTAAATAA